GTATGGCTCAGAGGGTAAAAAACATTCTCAAGGGCGGCGAAGAGGAGACCCCCCCCGCCCGCCCGCACAACCACGCGTGGCCAGGGCTGGCGAAGTCTGAGGCCAAGGCCGCGTCCCGCTCGCCGCCGCGCACGGAGCAGCCCGCTGAATACGGAAGCAAGGATCGACCTGCGCGGCGCCAGCGACCCTCTCCCGGCCAGACTTCGGCGGATTGAATATTTCTCGGCGGGAGCCCGGGGGGGGAGTCAGAGGGGGCAGGCCTTCCAGGCGGCGGGGATTCTCAGAAGCCCTCGCGCCTTCTGAGAATTCCCAACCATCCTGTGGTGTTGGGTCCTCGATTTGAGAGACTAGCCCCCGCGTTCACTCCTCCTCCTCCTCTCCTCCCCTGCCGCCCATCCCTACTTGTTTCATCATGCTGATGATTATGATTATGATGATCATCATCATCATCATCAGCATCAGCAGCATCAGGCATAGCATCAACATCATCATCAACAGCACCATCATACACTCAATCGTCCTTACCATCTCATCTTATCATCATCATCATCATCACCATCACCATCACCATCACCATCAACATCACCATCATCATCATCATCATCATCATCATCATCATCATCATCATCATCATCATCATCATCATCATCAGCATCAGCATCAGCATCAGCATCAGCATCATCACCATCATCACCATCAGCATCACCATCACCATCATCATCATCAGCATCACCATCACCCACCACCACCACCACCACCATCACCATCACCATCACCATCACCATCACCATCACCATCATCATCATCAGCATCACCACCACCACACACCACCACCACCACCACCACCATCACCATCACCATCATCATCAGCATCATCATCACCATCACCATCACCATCATCATCAGCATCAGCATCAGCATCATCATCAATCTCAACATCATCATCATCATCATCATCATCATCATCAGCATCAGCATCAGCATCATCAGCATCAGCAGCATCATCATCATCATCATCATCATCTCATCGCCTCTGCCCACCGCATGTCTCTGTTTCGGCGCACCCAGCACAGCGCTTCGTGACCCCATAGGGAGCTCCACCGAAGGCCCCAGTGGCAGGATTCGCATGGCGGCCCCAGGCCACTTCGGCACACCCCTGACGAGGATCGTGGCCCCATAGGAGCTCCACCGAAGGCGCCAGTGGCAGGGTTCGCATCATGGCGGCCTCGGGCCACTTCGGCACACCCCTCACGAGGGGATCGTGGCCCCACAGGAAGCTCCACCGAGGGCGCCAATGGCAGGGTTCGCATGGCGGCCTCGGGCCATTTGGGCACACCCCTCACGAGGATCGTGGCCCCATAGGAGCTCCACCCAAAGCGCCAGTGGCAGGGTTCGCATGGCGACCACGCCCCATTTCGGCACACCTCTCACACGGCTCGTGGCCTAATAGGGAGCTCCACAGAAAGAGTCAGTGGCAGGGTTCGCATGGCGACCTCGGGCCATCTCGGCACACCCCTCACGAGGATCGTGGCCCCATAGAGAACTCCACCGAAGAAGCCAGTGGCAGGGTTCGCATGGCGGCGCTCCCCCATTTCCCCACACCCCTCACGAGGATCGTGGCCCCGTGGGGAGCTTAACCGAGGGCGCCAGTGGCAAGGTTCGCATGGCGATCACGCCCCATTTCGGCGCACCCCTCACGAGGATCGTGGCCTCAGAGGGAGCTCCACCGAGGGCACCAGCGGTAGGGTTCGTGTGGCGCCGCCCCATTTGGGCACACCCCTCACGCGGTTCGTGGCCCCATAGGGAGCTCCACCGAGGGCGCCAGTGGCAGGGTTCGCATGGCGACCCCGCCCCATTTTGGCACACGTTTCACACGGTTCGTGGCCTCAGAGGAAGCTCCACAGAAGGCGCTAGTGGCAAGGTTCGCATGGCGGCCTCGGGCCATTTCGGCACACCCCTCACGCGGATCGTGGCCCCATAGGAAGCTCCACCGAAGACGCTAGTGGCAGGGTTCGCATGGCGGCCCCGCCCCATTTCGGCACACCCCTCACGAGGATCGTGGCCCCGTGGAGAGCTTCACCGCGGGCGCCAGTGGCAGAGTTCGCATGGCGGCCCCGCCCCATTTCGGCCTCTCTCCCACGGTTCGTGGCGTCATTGGGAGCCCCACAGAAGGCGCCAGTGGCAAGGTTCGCATCCCCCCCAGTACAGCGTTTCGTGGCCCCAGCGGGAGCTCCACCGAAGGCCCCAGTGGCACCGCCCGCATGCGTCACCCCCACACAGTACAGCGCTTCGTGGCCCCAGATGGAGCTCCATCGAAGGCCCCAGCGGCACCGCCCGCATGCGTCACCCCCACCCAGTACAGCGTTTAAGGAGCTCACCGAAGGCCCCAGCGGTACCGCCGGCATGCGTCATCCCTCACCCAGTACAGCGTTTCGTGGCCCCATAGGGAGCTCCACTGAAGGCCCCAGTGGCACCGCCCGCATGCGTCACCCACACCGTACAGCGCTTCGTGGCCCCTTAGATAGCTCCACCGAAGGCCACCGTGGCACCGCCCGCATGCGTCATCCCCCACCCAGTACCCAGTACAGCGTTTCGTTGCCCCATAGGGGGCTTCACCGAAGGCCACAGTGGCACCACCCGCATGCGTCACCCCCACCAAGTATAGCGCTTCGTGGCCCCATGGGGGGCTCCACCGAAGGCCCCAGCATGCGTCACCCCCACCCAGTACAGCGCTTCGTGGCTCCATAGGGAGCTCCACCGAAGGCCCCAGCGGCACCGCCCGCATGCGTCACCCCCATCCAGTACAGCGCTTCGTGGCCCCAGCGGGAGCTCCACCGAAGGCCCCAGCGGCACCGCCCGCATGCGTCATCCCCAGTCAGTGCAGCGCTTCGTGGCCCCATAGGGGGCTTCACCGAAGGCCCCGGTGGCACCGCCCGCATGCGTCATCCCCCACCCAGTACAGCGTTTCGTGGCCCCATAGGAAGCTCCACCGAAGGCCCCAGTGGCACCGCCCGCATGCGTCACACCCCACCCAGTACAGCGCTTCGTGGCCCCATAGGGAGCTCAACGGGAGCCCCCAATGGATGCACTCGCATGCGTCACCCCCGACCAATGCAACGTTTCGTGGCCCCATGGGAGCTCCAACGAAGGCCTCAGTGGCGGTGTTCGCATGCATTCCCCCCACCCAGCACAACGCTCCGTGGCCTCATGGGTAGCTGCACCGAAGGCCCCGCCGGTGGCTGTACTCGCATGCGTTTCCCCACCCATTGCATTGTTTCGTTGCCCCATAGGAGCTCCACCGAAGGCCCCAGTGGCGGCCCCGCCCCACTGCGGCGCACCCCTCACACTTCCCCGTAGCGCGGTCCGCCTAACACACCTGTGGCAGCGCCTACATGCGCCCCACATCGGCACACCCTTCGCATGCTGCATGGCCCCGTGAGGAGATCCCCCGAAGGCGATACCCGCAACGACGGTACTCACAACTGCATATGGTTGGGTTCTTCGCCAGGTCTTCGGGGAAAGCTTCGAAAACTTTTCAGAAGGCCCGAGGCCTTCCGAGTCTTCTGAGAAGGCCTGCCTCCTCTCATTTCCCCCCTGGGCTCGCCGCCGAATTTCAATTTCGGCGTTTTGTGACAACATCGGGCTCCGGGGGCAGTTTTCGGGGCCCGAGGCCATGAAACATTGATCTGAAACGAACAACTGTCCCTGGGGAAGGGGTCGGGACCTTTTGGGACCAGAAAATAAATAAATCCGTCGAATATCAAATGCACCCCGCCCGAGCCCCCCCAGCGGGCCCCGGCGTCGCAGTGGGGGTCCGGGGCGGTTGGGGGCGTGGGTGAGGGCGACCGCAAGTCACATATACAGTACGTAATGCGTGCACCCAGGCTAGACTGCGTAACACACATATCATTGTCATAACACTGCAATTGGTCAAGTTTCAGGGGGATCCAAACAAGTAGGCTTACAGCTCATACGCACTTCAGGGTGCAAGAATCAAAGTCGCCGATATGTTGATGATTAGTGCAAGCCATTCGTAGCTCCCTCTGGGCGGAAAATACGCCCTGGGAGTGGCCCAGCCTAGGCTGAACTTTGGTGCGCACCCGAAGAATGCACCCGAGCTGGCCCTTTACTCCCAACATGTTGCGCATTGTGATCCCTACTCTGCCACAGTGGTGCGTTCTCACGTCGCCGTGCTGATGGGCGCCCCGACCAGCCTGGAAACTGTCTGGCAAATCGCGTCGGGCGCCTGTCAACCTTGGAAGCGTCCTGGCACGAGAGGGCGCCCCAGACACCCTTGAAGCTCAATGGCAAGTTTGGTAGCAACTCATGGGAGCCTCCCATACCATGTTGTCGGCACTTGCGAATCGACGCTAACCGACGTCAGTCGACGCTAAACTGGCGTACATCATCGTTTACCAGACGCTAACCGACGCTAATGCGCTGTAAAAGCGGAATTGAGAGGGAATGCAAGGCCTCTCATTATTAAAAACCGAAAACAAATACTGGGAAACCAAAGGGTACCCACCCATACCGCTACTCACCGGGCCTCTCCCGGCGTGCGTTCTGACCGAAATTTCGAGGCCAATCCAGCGGTGGAGACGAGGGCCTCCCAAAGCCCGAAAAAGTGAAAACGAGGCAAAGATTAGCGGCATCGGCACCTGTCCCTCATCTGAAATACTTTGGGCTCCTCGTCCCAACTCTCGAGTTAGCTCGGGAATCGTACTACCTACCCGTGCGCATCTCGGGCACAGACAACAGGAGTGCGGAAATTAGCCTGACGAAAGACCCAACCATATGAGGCCACGAACTGTGTGAGGGGTGCGCCAAAATGAGGCGGCACCGCATTGCGGACCCTGCCACTGGGGCCTTCGGTGGAGCTCCCCATGGGGTCGCGAACCGTGTGAAAGGTGCCCCGAAATGTGGCGGCGCCGCCATGTGGACCCTGTCACTGGGGCCTTCGGTGGAGCTCTCTATGGGGCCACGAACCGTGTAAAGGGTGCGCCAATGGGGTGGCGCCGCCATGTGGACCCTGCCACTGGGGCCTTCGGTGGAGCTCCCTACAGGGCCACGAACTGTGTGAGGGGTGTGCCAAAATGGGTGCGGCGCCGCCATGTGGACCCTGCCAATGGGGCCTTCGGTGGAGCTCCCCATGGGGACACGAACCGTTT